AGGCAGCAGTGTGGGATGGAAGGGGGCATGCCAGCAGTGGGGCCGGGAACGCACTGACTGTCATCCCCGCCTCTCAGGACTATTGAATAGTTGTGTAACCACTAAGACTTCATGTGGTTTACATGATTATTCAAGTACTAGGAATGTTAGATATTGGGTATCAGTAGAGCAATGTGAGAAAGGCCAATCTAGCTGAATTGAGGCAGCAGTGTGGGATGGAAGGGGGCATGCCAGCAGTGGGGCCGGGAACGCACTGACTGTCATCCCCGCCTCTCAGGACTATTGAATAGTTGTGTAACCACTAAGACTTCATGTGGTTTACATGATTATTCAAGTACTAGGAATGTTAGATATTGGGTATCAGTAGAGCAATGTGAGAAAGGCCAATCTAGCTGAATTGTTAGGGGGCACAGCAATGCCAGTGTCTCCCATACTGCACCTGGGAGGGAGGGGCAACCATCACAGGCACCTCACCCTTTTCAACTTTAGCTTTCATCCCCAGGTATCAATTCCAGAGAAAATACGGTAATCTTCATTACTGGAGCAACTTGAATGCAACGGCAGGCACTTAAAATCTACCTTGCATGTGCAAACATAACAACCGGACTAAACCTGTAAATAACATCGTTTTGTCCGATAACAATAGTTTGCAGACAAAGAACTTTTAAGAAAGACTGATCTCAATGGAACTTGGAAAAAAAAATCCCCAAAATGTTACCATGCTCAATTATAATTTTCTAACTTGAAATTTAAGATTTTTTTTTACATGATTATTTAGTTGTGCTTCAATCTTAGGGAGTAACGGGAGTCCCATTAATGGCATTATAGACACCAATTCAAAATAATGAATCAATGTTACCATTTTATTTGAAGTGTTGGATAACTGTGCTCATTAAATCACTTGCCTTTTATATCAGATTCACGTGCACTGCAAATCTGAATTTTTGACCATCCTGCTGCCATTTTCCCTCTAAGATATGAGGAAGAGCTCTCTTTTCAGAAATTCTTAACAAGCTTCTATTCCTGCACCATTCATGCAAACACACAAAATAGCAGGAAAAACGTAACACAGAACAAATAGTCTTGTAGCACCTTACAGACTAACAAAACATGTAGATGGTATCATGAGCTTTTGGGGCACAGCCCACTTCTTCAGTAGCAGGTCTGACTTCAAAGCGCTACACAAATATTTACCTCATTAAACCTCAAAATGACCCTACAGGGCGGTAAATATTATCCCCATTTTTACATATGAGAAAAAACATAGTGAGAGAAGTTAAGAAAATCAACCCAGGTAACAAAGGGAGTTAGAGCCAACAACAGCACACAGGACTCCCTGACTCCCATTCCTGTGCTCAGAACTCACAAATATCTTACCACAACTCAACAGCTGTTGGAATGTTGCTACATTTGCTTTCCCCTTGTGATTGATTAGTAAATGAAGCACACACAAACAGAAAACTTCCTCCTTTACAATCAGGTGGTCTTCCTTAGTCCTTAAAGTTTCTTTCAATGATGTCTCAGTATGATGCCCAATGTTTCTGGCCAGGCAGAATGTGGATTGTGAAAGTGGCTGCCCAACTCAGGGAACAGTAATTAGCTGGTAAAAAAGAACGGGGGCAGAAGTAGTCTCCTCTTACCTCCAACACCTGGATTCTGCTCGAAAGCCTCGTACGTTGTTATCTCCCCCAATCAAGTATACAAAGTTGTTGAAAACAGCAATCCCTTGGTTGGACATTCTGGGGGCTAACGTAGCAGTAAAGTGTTTCCACTCCCCCAATAGGGGGTTCAAGAACTTCGCTTGGTCACTGAGGACTGTGGACGGAATAGAATGCATCCCTCCAAAGCCCACTACACAGTGGAACTCTGATCTCACCTGTGTCTGTGAGCTTTGAAGAATGGGCTGAAGCCATTCGTTCTTGTGGTACATTAGGGCATCAGCTACAGTTTCTTTTAACGGGCATGGGCTTAGTTTATCATGGAGCCTTTGCAAGATTTGGAGGTCCATCAGGGGGAAGCGCACTGTTTCCAGTAACTTAGGTGGCTCCATCAATGAAATCTGATCAGTTTCCACCTGTTCTGGGGTGTAATGGTATAAAAGTGCCCCTTCGTAAACCTCAGCCTCACATTTGACTTCTAAGAGGTTGCTGCTGAGGAGGGAGTAGACCTTCTCCAAGGGGAGCTGGCGGTATTTCTCAGTCTTTGAAAACGTTGAAAAGTTCTTGAGAATACAGGAGTCCAGCTGCTCGCTTAAATGGGTCAAGCCAAAGAGGTTAGCTAATTTGTATATATCCAAGATGTTTTCCTCATCCACCCAAGACATGAGAAAATCACAACAGAACTTAATGACTTCTGGAATCTGCAAGAGAAAGCAGAAGGTTTATTTACTTTAAAAAAATTCTTGTCTTAACGAGAGGAGGTGGGGTGTCAGAGGTAGGCTCTGGCTCGGAGGTACTTATCTATGTAGCTCCCAACCAGCAGCTTTGCAGAAACCTGAGGCAGACAGTCTGCTGCAGGCTGCTCACTACTCCACATGGCTCCGCTCCGGGTATGAGTCAGGGAAGGGAGGGAGAAGGCTTCCCACACTCTCCCTGCCCCCAGCAGAATTTCTCAGCTCCCACTGGCCAGCTTCTGGACAATAGGAGCTGAAAAATGTTGCTGGGGCCAAGAACAGCTTGTGAAGTCTTCTCCCACCGTTCCCCCCTCCTTATGCCCAGAGCAGACCCCACATGGAGCACCCAGGAGACAGAGTTCAG